AGAAACATTTCACATTATTCACAATAGTCAAAAACTGGAAGCAACTCAAGTGTCCATTAATGGATGAATGGAGAAACAAAATTTGGTATATACACACATGAAATTTTAGCCTTAAAAAGAAAACTGTGATATAAACCATAATGTGGATGAACTTTGAAGACATTACGCTACATGAATTTAAACTAGTCACAAACCTACACTAGGAAAGTACATGATGATTGGTATGAGTTATAATTGATCAATTTTCAACCTTAAGGATCTTCTGATTGAAGGTCTTTAAGAATAAGAAACATCGTCAGTTTTTAGGGTTAATGGATGTTTTTCTTATGCACAGAAACTTTGCTACTTCTATTCTAATTGCAAAAATAACAGAAGTGGTTAGCTATCAGAATTGACCTGCAGTGAATTGTAGGTAAATACACCCACAAAGTGTTCTTACACAATGAAACTGAACTTTGACTTTAGCACTGCACTTCCCTCTTGAAGAGGTTACTAATGACTTTACTCCAGACATCACTTAATCAGTAGATCCTGTTTCTTCAAGTGGAAATAGGGGTAACAAAGCACTCTGAGGGATAGACGAGATGGCATAGGTACAAAAGTATCTACTTTGATACTAAATAGTTCTCTCCCCCATCAAGCACACAAGATCATCCCTACATGTTATTACGCTAATCATGAAAATCTTAAACCATAGTCTAACTTCACATTCTTCCACTGACTTAAAACATGAATATCATTTTATATAATATCTAAGTAAATACACTAGAGAATTGATCTAACAAAATCACAATGGAAGCAAATCCAGAATAAAATCTGAAGAACTTCACTATAAACCCTCACACCTACACAAGTCTTGTAGCAGAAACATTTATGAAAGCTACAGCAATTTAATGCCACCAATATTTCAAAATAAACATAAGTCACTGGTTAAAGTTTCAAAGGTTATGACTCAAGGCACACGAAAGGAAATCTCTGAGTAACTAGCTAAGTTAGGCTATTTAGTGACCTAGTCAAAATCAACTGATACATAGGCCAACATCTAATGGTTTAAAGAAATACAAGTATTACCGTACCAAAAGTACAATTATTACTGTATCAAGGAAATTATCTCTAATTCAAAAAAGATTTCTGTAAGCAAGGATAATAGAAAATTATGCCCTTCTGACCATTTAGAGAAGGCTAATGAGATGTTAAGTTTTTATAAGAGAAATGTTTCATTTATCCAACTGCTCAGCTAACATTTTGCCAGTATTTTTTCAATTAGCCATTCTATAAGTATGTAGTAATATCTCATAGAGGTTTTAACTTTTTTTTTTTAAGAGACAGAATCTCACTTTTATCACCCTTCGGAGAGTGCTGGTAGAGTCCTCACAGCTCACAGCAACCTCCAACTCCAACTGCAAGATTCTCTTGTAGTCCCAAGCTACAGGCGCCCACCACAACGCCCAGCTATTTTTTATTGCAGTTTGGCTGAGGCCAGATTCAAACCTGCCACCCTCAGTATACGGGGCCAGAGCCCTACCCACTGAGCCACAGGCACCGCCGGAGGTTTTAAAATTTTTAACCATTTTAACAGCAACTTTTAAAAACAGCGCACACTGTTTTGCTCCTTTGAACAGAGAACACTTGACGAAAATTTTTCTGACTCAAAATCATCCTTATAGAATAAACACTGTTCTCTCAAGGATAACAGAAGTACCCGTAGGATTGTTTTCCTTCTTCTAAAATGGTCTCAGAATTATGTCTGCTTTTTTATAGTTTTTTAAATATTCTCTCCTGTTGTCACTTCTTGCTATTAATGGTGCTCCTACTTCTGGCAGACTTTCCTTTTCACCCTCTTCTCAACCTGAGATTAGAAAATAAATAACCTTCTCCATTCCTGTGATGCTTCACTAAGGATAATGTGTTCCACCTCCATCCAGATTAGTACAAAAAAATAAAAAAAAAGAAGAAGAAGAAGAAAATAAATAACCGGGCTTGGTAGAATTACATCTAAAAATAAGAGGGCAATCAGTGAGTGAGAGCTTAAAGGATACTTCAATGAGGAAAGTGAAAGCTTCCCCCTCACCCCACCTCTTCATGGTATTCAAACTTCCTGATTATCTAGTTTGGTTGCTGAGAAATTTCTAGGAGGTAAGTTTCCTAGGCATTTTTCAAAAATGTGTGATTGCCAGCTAAGAGAACACCCAGTAACTGAGTCATTTGCAAATAACATTAGGCTATAATTCTAGATGAGGAATTAAAAGCTTACCTAAAGCAAAATATAGACAAGATTACTCTGTATGCAGAAACCTAAACAGAAGAGATTATCTTAAATGTAGTTTAAATCTAGCTTCCAAACACACATTGGCCAAAATCCTGAGCCCCTACTAGGTACATCGGGCATTCAGAGAGGCACAAAGACAAATACAAAGAAATGTTAAAAAAAAAAAAAAAATTCAATTGTTCTTTCAAAAGACACAATGGCCATATAATAGTGGTTTTGATCATATTTCCAGTGTTCCCTTGAAAATCCTACTTAACTAGTTACGTGTATACACAGCTGTGATGTAACCAAAAGCAATTAAAAGAAGCTCATTCTGTCTTTTAGGTAGTATTTTCCATCTCTCGACAAGATAAAGCTATGAACAGTTGTACGGTCTCTTCTGGAGGTGATCGCACAGGAGAAATGGTATCACCTTACTTCTCTGAGCTCCCAGGCTCCAATTCAGAAAACGTGAAAGGCAGGCACTTCCTCCCAACCGAACTTCCCTGAGGAATGGCACGCTGCGCATCCGCCATGTTCACAGGCCAATCGCTATTCTTCCGGCTGCCTCCACCCACAGTGTTAAAACACATTTCACCAATTGCAACCGGATCTTGGGTGGGACTTCCGCTATCATTTCAGGCTTAACTACCACCATCTCATCACAGGCAATCATGAAGAGAATTCCACAAACTTTGAGCTCATACACAGTTTCAAGCAAACATAAAAAAATGACACGATGGAAGATGCAGTGACAAACGCTAAAAAGCCAAAACAGTCCCCAAAATGTTTTTAAGAAAAACAATTTAAAATCAAGCAATCAAAACCTTAAGTCCAGGATCATGTATTTGCTTATCTTTACAGTCACTGCTGGGTCCTGAAGTTCTCCTCTGGCCCAGTTTCAGCTGCGGAGCCCTCTGCCAAAGGGACAGCAAAAGCCGATAATGTGGAGCTCTGATTACCCACCCATCAGGGCACCCGTGAAGGTCACCGAATACTTAACTGTGCACCAGAAAATCATTCTGCAAGTTCACTCCTGTATTGCCTGGGCCCCGATTTTAAACTACTTATTTTGCTTTGGATCTAGAAAACTGAACTATTTTAAAGACGTTTAAACACAGATTTGTAAGTCACGAACTCACATTTTACAATTCCTGAAATCTAACACATAAACTGTAATTTCCCTAAAGATCTTATTTTAAAAGGAACACGACAGTGTTCTTAAGAAGCGCCTAATGCACTGGTCTTTACACAAGATTCACTGTCACCTAACATTTGTAAAGGTAGCAGCAGCAGCACTAGTATTTCCAGCTGCTTCTCTCTACTGGCCCTGGCGATCCCCCTGCTATTACTATTCATTCCTAGATAAACCTGTTGCTAGTAAAGAACAGGCTAAATTCAAAACATAAGCATTTGTTTTGAAGTTGAAGGTAAATAACCTGCCTGCTTAAAAGAAAAAGGGGGGAAATTTGAAGGATACTGGAGATAGCACTGCCACCTCTGGCTTCTGGTCCGGGGCTCCCTACCCAACCTCAAGTGTCCTTATAACGTCTGTGGACCCCGAGCAGGCTCACTGAAGAGAGACAACTGGAGGCAGGCTTGAACAGTGCACGGCCTGAACAGCCGGCCATCCATCTTGTGTTCCGGCCCGACTCCCAGCCCGCTCTCTAGCCCGGCCGAGCCCGAAGGAAGTCGCCACCCCGCGCGCCGCCACGGCCCGGCGACATTCTGCGCCTCGGAAAAGGGTCTTGGAGTGCGGTGCGGCCCTGGTCCCTGGACCCCAGAACCACAGGCCAACCACAGACCCCTTTGGATCCCCGGCAGGCCTCACCTTGACGTGGAAGCGGATGAGCGCCAGGCGGATGCAGTGGGCCATGCAGACCGGCGGCAGGAACCAGACCTTGGGCGGCGGGGTGCCCTTGTTCTGGACATGGCTGACGATCTGCTGCGCCGTCTGGCGCTCGTTGCCCTGCCTCTTGACCCACTCGTGCAGCCGGGCCTTCTCGAGCGCGCCGTTGAAGAAGACGAAGAGCTCGATGTTGCCGCCGAAGCAGGCCTTGGCCAGCGCCGCCAGGTAGCCGAGCATGTGGTTCCACTGGCCGCCGCTGACCCAGTCGGTGTAGAAGCCGCCGTAGAGGCGGTGCAGGCAGTTGTCGGCGTCCACCAGCAGGCGCAGCGGGGTCTGCGGGGGCCGCTGCCGCCCGCCGCCCACCAGGCTACCCCGGGCCAGCTTCTGCAGCTCCACCGGCACCACGGCGCTCGGGCAGTGCTTCTCGATGTAGTCCTGGAAGCCCTGCACGCCCATGGCGGCGGCGGGAGCGCGGG